CTATCCATCTATCATCCTTTCTTTTTTTCTTCCTTTCCTTCCTTCTACCTAGTTCTCCTTCCTTCCTTCTTCCTTCCTTCCTTCCTCATTTTCATCTCTGTCTGCCTTACTGCTATCCATCATCCTTTCCTTCCTTCCTTCCTTCCTTCCTTCCTTCCTTCCTTCCTTCCTTCCTTCCTTCCTTCCTTCCTTCGCAAGAAAAGTCAGGCAGACCCAAATCTGTTTTTGTGCCGCCCCCAAAACCCCGAGGCGTCTTCAACTCCTTCCTTCCCTGGCCCCGAACGAGCATTCTTCCCTTTGACTGATGGGGATCTGCTGAGCGTGTTTGGACGGGCCAGCCTCCGGGGGAATTCTTCTCCTCTAAGCTTGGAAACATTTTCCCAGGCTCCCCTTGTTTTTTAATGCCTTTGGCACTTTGATTATCAGTATACCAGGAGGTTTTTTTTTTTTTTTTCCTTTTTCCCTTTAAAAAATAAATAAGTCTGCAGTTGCTGAGAGTTTTAGGAAAGCAGCGAGACAGGATTTAAATAGGATCAAGCCATGGCGGGATCTTCAGAAGGACGGGATCACGGTGTACCTACGTCTTATATATCATGGCAAGCTGTTTATAAATAAGTGTTGACATTTTGGATCGACTGCAATATCAATGGAAAGGTTCCTGGGGTTGGAGGGAGCTGACATAATCCTCCCCCCCCCCCAGCATTTTCAGGAGGGCCTGCCTTGCAAACAGCCACTCTCCTGGGGCAAGTCGGAATTTCTTCCAAGTGACAGAGAGACAAGGATGGGGATGTAAATAGATGGGAGTCAAAAAAAAAAAAAAAATCAGCCTGAACTTCTGCAAAATAAATTTATGACCGTACGAGCTTTCGGAATTTACAGTTTTAATACCCTGAATCAGAGCCCAAATTTATTATTATTACTGCATAGTTCATTCTGACCTGTCCTGCCTTTTTAAGGAAGGTTTGTTTATTAATTGGGTTGTGCAGTAGTCTGCATACCAGCCTCGTGCACTCAAATGTCACTTTTCCTAGCGGTGTATAATCTGAGAGGTGATTCTTGTCTCTCAATATACAATTTGGAGGTAGACTCCTCTTGAGAGTGGAGATTTTTCTTCCTGTTGATGTATGAAAGGTGTGTTAATGAGGTTTTCAGCCTAGAGGGTTCCTAAGTAACATAACTCTGCCTATTCTCTTTGTGTTTATTGAGAATTTTACATAACGCAAAAGACAAATCTAAAGCACAACAAAAGATGTTGCAAGGAAACTAAAACAGACAAGAAACTAAATATAATGACTTCCAAACTTCGCTTCAACAGATAATTACAATCCTATATTCCCAACTCCCTCTTAGACGTTACAAAAATCCCTTCAACGCCTGCCTTACTCCACATATTTTGTTTAATCCTCAACCCCGTAAATAATCATCTCATTTTTTTGCCTTCTTTCCTCAGAAAAATCCATATGAAGTGTCTGGTTTTTGAAAAAAAGTTGTTGATAACTGTTCATGTCACAGCACTAGGTCTCCATGGATGAATCTGTCTGTTAATTGCTAATGTTTCTCTGCTGCTCTGCTCTCAGTGCATCAGTAGAAAGAAAAAAAGAAAGAAAGAAAGAAAAGAAAAAAAATAAATCAGAAAGTATGAAGAGAAGGAAAGAAAAGGAGGGAGGGAGGGAGGGAGGAAGGAAGGAAGGAAGGAAGGAAGGAAGGAAGGAAGGAAGGAAGGAAGGAAGGAAGGAAGGAAGGAAGGAAAAATAAACCATGATAGCAGTCTTCTGATATTTGAGGGGCTGCCCCGAAGAGGGAGGGGGGCACCTATTTTTCCAAAGCACAGAAGGCAAAGATAAGAAGCAACAGATGGAAACTAACTGAGGAGAGAAGCAACTTGGAATTAAGGAGAAACTTCCTGAAAGTGAGAACAATTAACCAGTGGAACTCCTTGCCTCCAGAAGTTGTGGCTGCTCCATCAATGGAGGTTTTAAATCAAAGATGGGATGACCACTGGTCTGAAATAGTCTAGGGTCTCCTGCCTAAGCAGGGGGTTGGACTACAAGACCTCGGAGGGCTCTTCCAACTCTTGTCATTCTGTTCTTCCCTCGGCAGTTGGGAGAGGAGAGCAGGTAGCCTTATGCTGCTGCTGCGTTCAGAAGGGGTGCGGCTGCCGTGAGCCACCGAGGGTGTGGGCCAGGTAGGGCTGTGCGGAGGTGTGGGTGGGGACCCAGGTCCCCTGACGGAAGGAAGGCGGCACCTCCGCCGAGCAGAAAGGAGACGGGCCCCGGGGAGAGGGGCGCAGATGATCAGATCATGAGCCGAGGGAAGTTTGGGCGGATCAGGAACTCCTGGAAGGCGCTGGAGGAAGCCGGCTTTGAGATCCAGGTTTGCTAAGATTTGGAAAGAAGGGACGGAACCATAAACCAGAACGCCTGGTTGGAAAGGGGGCGAGGGGCTTGAGGATCCCAGCAGCGCTTCAATGGAGCCGGAAGGGATCCTCAATTTTGTTTATTGATTTCAAGGAAGGAGATTCTTTTTTGAAGCAAGTGCTTCCTGAAGAAGGTTGCAACTTTGCCAGAGTTTGCATGTTTGCTCCCTTCCTTGTACACAAGCTCATATATGTATGCTTTTTTTTTTTTTTGATTGGCAAATATTTCCCCAAGCTTGTCTGAATCAGCGTTGTGGGTTTCTGAATGCTGTCATTATCGTCTTTATCCAAAAGGATCAGGGTTTGTGGGCAGAAGCCAAGATCTGCAATGGGTTTGTCCTCATTCCTCTGCCAGCCTAATTAACATTATTAAATTAGGAATAATTCCTTCCTTCTCGGTGTCTTCTTGAGATTCTAGTAGCGCAGGGCAACTTGGGATGAAAAGGAAGGCCTAATGGGACACTGAATTAAGTTGAATTTGGAGACACTAGCAAATTTAAGCAAAACAAAAAATAAAAAAACCCCATAGATTTGCAGACTTCTGTTTCCCTCTTGTGGGCTCCAGGGTGGGTCAGAGAATTATGAGGAGTGGCATTTTTCTGGGCCCCTTGAAAATCTTTGCATTCTTTTTCTGCTGTACAAGATTACCCACCGCCTTAAAAAAAACCCCTGTCATCACCTACTCAACTGCATACTTTTTCAAAGGTACTTTCATTATTCATTAGGTCTAGAATCCTGAAGTTAAATCTGCCCACCCGGTTGTTAAGGCTCTGCTGTTTTGTATAATTGAGCATGATCAGCCTGCTGCATTGTAAAATAAATTTAAAGCGCATCAGGTGAAGAGGACTAGAAACTTTGGAAGTGAGAAGAACAGCAAAGCAAGCAGACATTTTGGCGTTCACTTAGATATTCATGAGGTCTAGTTTGCTTTTCTCATAGGGCAAAAAAAAAAAAAAATGCTGCTCCTTAATCCAGCATCTAAAGGGAAATGGGACGGGGATCCATGGTCTTGCAGGAGGAAAATGGGGTTGAAATTCCTGGGTCAAGTTTGAGTTTGCTCAGCCATGTTGTGGGAACTCTTTCGACTCCACTCAAACCGTGTTTTTTTTCTGTGAAGGAGGCCTGTTCATTTTACCCACTTAAGCATAAATTTGCAGAGAATATTGGGGTGGGTGTGTCACATTATCTGGGCCCAAGAAGAATGAATAAACAAGGATAAACAGAGAAATGCATGTCTGCACAGGGAATCCAGACCCATTTTATCTTCTCTTTGGCTTGATTTCTATCAGAAACGCTTCTGATACATACCAGTTGCGAGTTCAGAGAATGGCATTTTTTTAAAAAAAACCAAGCCTTGCGATTTCCTTGTTTCAAACAGGGTGGAGCACTGATAGATTCCCCTCTTTTATCTGGAGATGGTTGCAGACCTGGCTTTAGAGCATCTTGCAACACATCCTTGGACTTGCAGAACAGGTTTAGGGGAGGCTTCATTCACTGAGCTCAAGATATTTTTGTTTTTAAATTACAGGAACTGGTTTTTATTTGGCTGGTGCCTTCTTCAAATAAACAAGTCCTGTTTGGCTTCAGCTTTTTTCAGAGTTTGTGGGTTTTGGTTTTTGTTTATAAACAACAACAACAACCGAACAGTCCATTTTTGTTTTGGTTTTGATTACTAACCCCGAGCTAGGAATATACCAGGAAAAGGCTATTTCTGCTGCAAGGTATTTACAGGTATTTATTTTAGATAGGAGGGAACATTCAGAGTTTCAAAAATAAAATCTTCAAGATTAGTTCCGTTCTTGGAAGAAGGGGACAAATTTAGACCTGGATGCCCACTGAGTTTAAGGAAAGAAGTTAATTTTTATTTATTTATTTGGTTTTTGTAGCTGCCCATCTCAAAAAAGAGACTCTGATCAACTGCTTTGTTTTCTGTTCTTCCGTGGAAGTTTGTATTTTCACTTTGGAAATAAAATAAAAATTTATCAAAAAAAATAAAACACCCCAAGTGACTCTGTTGCTTTATAAGTTGCTTTTTAATGCAGCGACGTGTCTTTGAAGGGGCGCTTTGCAAAAGATGCGCAATACGGCACTTCAGGTCAGATCTCAGTTGTGTGTAAGTTGTTGATGTTGACTCAGTTCGATTTCTTTCACGGTTTGCTGTTCTCTTCCAAAGCTTCATTCAGAAATCAATCCTGCTCTGGAGGATCACTTAAAGAGGCACAATATCACACACAGTCCTGGGGAAGGTTCTTGCATCCTGCAGACACAATGCATTTGTGTGTGTGTGTGTGTGTACAGGGAGTCTTTATTTAGCAACCATTCACAGCTATGAGAATAATGAAAAAATCACTTCATAACCAGTCAAGTTGTAAGCATAGATGTACATTTCACTTAGCAACTGCTTCGCCTAACAACCTTCTTGCCAGTCCCAACTGTGCTCATTAAATGAGGATGACCTTGTCTGTCTTCTGCCAGATTTTATAACTGGCCCTTCCAGTGCTATTAATTGCATCACAGAGTAAATTGTTGGAAACTGTACCCTTTAAAACAAATCAAACTTATCTTTTCCTTGTTCTGTTCTCAGGCCAAGCCTATTTATGGTGGATGGCTGCTACTAGCGCCCGAAGGCACGGATTTTGACAACCCTGTGCATCGCTCCCGGGTAAGGGCTGCTCCTTCCTCCTCGCTGGGCTATGAAGGGCAGCGAGTTCAAATTTCTTAAATTTTATTTATTATTAAATTTATATGCCAGCCTTCTCGCTATCCAGATGGACTAGGAGAGAGGGATCTGTTTTTTTCAGTGCTCGAATAACTGCAGGACCTTGATTTCAGCACATGATCCTCAGTTTTCTTTCTGTTGGGGCAGCAACTTTTGGACAGCTGGGGTTTTACTCCAGACATTTGGGGGTCCCTTGATGTCTTAAAAGGTTGCAGATATTATTCCTCTGGTGTGCAGAAATGGGGAGGAATGGAGAGGAGAAGGAAAACAAAACAGCTTCTCCACCACAAATCTGGATGGACGCTGAATTCCATCAATTCTGAAAGCCCCCCAGTCTGGGGAGACCTCATTTGAAAACTGGCTTGTTGCAGCCTTCAATTATCTGCGATTTTAACCATGTGGCCTCTTTTCCCTTTTTTAAGAAATGGCAACGCCGCTTCTTCATCCTTTACGAACATGGTCTTCTCCGCTATGCCTTGGACGAGATGGTGAGTCCGTTTTTTTGATTTTGAAATCAGGCAATTTCCTCTCTTTTAATGCTCACGGTGGGCTGGTGAGGAGGTGAGGGCTTCCAAGGTCGCAAGTGATCAGAGTTTGAGCCGTGTTCTTCGGACTTGGTGACTGTATGATGTGTCGACTTCAACCCCTAGAATTCCCCAGCCAGCAATGGCTTCTTTGCTTCTCCTCCTGCTTGTCCATTCTCACCCTTCCTGATCTGAGGGGTCCTGGTTGTTTTCTTGCAGATGCTTCATTACCCAAATTAGGTAACATCATCCATGCTAGTCAGCACTGAGGATGTTATCTAGTTTGGGTCATGAAACTAGATAAAAATGCCATTGGGTACCTGGTGAATGGTACCTTTGGATTGGCAAAAGAGCTTGTCTTTGATGAGTTGTGTGGTACACTCCCCATCTACTCTTGCTCTTCTTAATCGAGCATTCCCAGGAGAGGCAATTTTCAACAATGGAGTTGCCTGTTGAGTAAAACTACCTGGAATTAAGTTCCCATGATCAGGGGCCAGGGGCCGTAAGCCTTCAGCAGGAGCTTATGTTTGGACATGGTCCTCAATGACATCAAGTTGGCTGTGGTGGTGAAGTTACATTTTCTATGTAAGGATGGAGGAGCAGCTGGTAAAGAAGATGCTTGGGATTAGTAGTAGCTGGAGAAGAAGAGGAAAGTAGCAGGCAATTTGATCATGGTTGTCATTTCCAAAAGGTAGAGAGATACTTCCTGGGGAAGATGTGGGAATCTGAAGTTTCTAGTTTCCACACCCACAGGTCTTGTGATTGTCTCCTCTCCTGCTCAGGCCAATATTTTGGAGCTCAGTTGCCCTCTAAAGCTTTCTCCATCAATGAAGAGAAAGTAGCCAATCTTAAGAGGGTGGAATTCATTCATGTGGTTTCTGCAGAAGGGGTAGGAGTTTTATTTGCCTGCATCTTGATGTTTGTTGACCCAGCTGAAGACTTCTGAGCAAAGGCTTTGATTTCCTTGTTCATCTCGTCCTTCGCAACGTGATTTGCTTTATGCTGGAGGTTTATGTTGTACAAATCTGAGATGGGAATCAGTGAAGTCTTCACAATAAGAGGAAAGGGTAGGAGTGAGATGCTGCTTATTAAATAAACGATTCCTACCAGTTATCCTTGTAATTTCTCATTCCATCTCTGATAAGAATCAAGATTTTCTGTTTCTCTTCAAGTTGAGTAATGCCCTCCTTCCTAGTCTTTCAGAATCAGCTGACACAAACTTAAGACTTCTACAACTTTTTTCAATCCGATTATTGCCTGTTATGCCAAATATATATTTATCTTACTCCTTTTGACGTGTCTACCAACATTTCACTAGTGAGTTGGCGCTAGACGAAAAAGGGAGGAGCTTCTGGTTTGCTTTTCCTGCAAAACTTAAGAAAGCGGATGTGATGCTGATCTCCTTATCTGCCTATATATATATCTATAAATAAATAAAATGTAGTTATTCATCTGTGTGAGTTAGTTTAGTGTAATTTTATTGGGGACAGAGGTCACCTTGGTGGAATAAAACTAGCAAAGCTAATTGGGAGCCCCACCTAGGCTGGTTTGGGAAGGTGTGTTGGGAAAGATCTTGAAGAATGTGAAGATGTTCCTCAAGAAACTCATGAGTGAAAAATTAATAAAAATGACCCTCAAAGCCCTGCAGCATTCTTCACTGAGGAATATTACAGGCTGCTGTAATCGTAATTTTGCAGCTGTAGAATTATTCTAATTTAATTAGTAGGAGATACTTGGTTAAGTTGCTCTGTAGCTTTCATTAGTAGAAAAGGTGCATCAAGAATGTTCTCAACAGATCTAGGCTGGGGGTGCATTTCACTGAAGGAATTCAGTTTGGGATACATTTCCTTCAAAAAAAAATTAAGAAAAACATTGTCTGGCTATTGGCTCTGCACGTGATCACTCTTCAAACTAGAATATAGAATATCTTAAAAATGAATATGATTTGGAAAGTTTACACACCCAATTCAGGATTTAAAACTCTTTACATTTCAAATTGCAGTTGATAATTTTAACCGATGCTGCACGGTTCTCGTCGTCATCTTTGCCACAAGGATAGTCTCCTTTTAAACGTGGAGGTCTGAATGATAGATTCAGTGGCTGATGTGAGACATTAAAATACGTTCACACCCATCGTCTGTTTTACCCAACTTTACAAGTATTTACAAAAAAATAAATTAATTACTGTTTTCTTTTTATGGTATTTTGTCTGGCTTAGCTGAGTATTTTTTTTTTTTTACAAAAAACAACTATTTATTTAATATGCTTGTACTGTGTTTTATATCTAAGCTGTTTACTTAAGCCTGGCGCCAAAAATGAGTGATTTGGCAGCAATCATATCAGCGGCATTTAACCCTTTTGGTGCATCCCTTTCTCCCCCAGACTATCATCTTCTTTTGTCATTGGAGAATTCCCAAGTCCATGTGTCCCCCCCCTCTTTATTTTTATTGGAAGTCTTCTCTTTGAACATTCAACAATGACTTAGCAAAAGAGTTACAACCAGTCAATGAACTTGCAAGAAAGTTAAACTTTCTTTGTAGCTTCCCGCTTTTCTCATACTTTTCAATCAAGCCTCAAATCTTTTTATGTCCCAGATCCTTTCCCCAGCTCTCCAAGTCCACAGGATATGTGGGAAAAAATGGGATGAAATAAAAAACTTGAAAGAATCCTGGTTGTGAGAACTTGGGGGCGGGGCAAGAAGGCCTGGACAGAATTTGGATAGCAAATTCATTCTAGGTCCTCAGACTTTGCCACATTGGTTTGTTTGGGGTTTCTTCTCTGAAAGATCTCTCTTTTTCTTCCTTCTTATTTCCACTGTGTTCTGAGAAAAGAGAAGCTGGTGGTTCATCAACTTTGGACTTGCATTGTGAAGTCTTCATGTAAAGTGCCAAGTTGCCCAGTTTCGCATCCTTGGCGGTGAAAACCACCTTGAATTGGAGGCCACTTCTGGTCTCCATTCTTGACCATCCTGCTAGAGACTTGAACATTTTTGTTCTTCACATCTGGTTTGAGCACCATTAGACTTTCCTCAGGTATCTCAGTCATACCTGGACTACTTTTTGGAGCCACTGGTGGCTTGGGGATTGCAGGTTTTGCTTAAAATACCAGGATCCCAAATCCCAACCCTTGGCCAAGATGACAGATGGGGTACCTCAAGGCTCTACTTAGGCCCAGTAACCAAATTTTCTTCCAACTCTGTCATTCTGTTATTCTGATATCTTGAGAAGGGTGAAGACCCATCTAGCTTACTCATCTAATGAGATTTTCATTTCTTCCTGTGGGCAAAGCAAGGTGTGAAGTTCCAAGGCTAGAATGAGAGCAGAACACCTGTCAGGTCTCCTCGTCAAGGCCTGTTTTGAACTTTTTCTTACTCTTGCCATTCATGGGACTTCGCCCAAGACTCTCTGATCTCTGCCCGCAGTCTTAAGAGCTAGAAACTTGTTTTAAAACCAGCTAGGATGATGTATCATGTCCCAGGACCCATATCTTCCATGACTAGGGAATTGCAGACAACTCTGCAGCCTTGGATATGCAGACAGAGGAAGCCCTAGAGCAGTGTTTGTCAACCTCAGCAACTTTAAGAAGGGTGGACTTCAAGTCCCGGAGTGTCCCAGAGCTGGACAGCCAGGGATTCCCTCAGGGCCTGCCGCTCAGACCTCATTTTACAAGCTCTCCTTGCATGAGATCAGCTAGAGGTTTCAGAAGTTCCTGCTTCTTCCATGGAGGTTGTTGCATAGAAGATAGAGGAGAACGCAGAACGAGCAGGACTATCTGGAAATAGCTCTTTATGCCTAGCCTGTGCCACAGTTGTTTGTCTACACTCACTAAGGTGTATGTGGTTTTCTGCTGGGGGTGCATTATTGCGTCTGTTAAGCTGTGATTAATAAAGCTCTGATGGCCTCAGATCCTTCATTTGGTTCCTCTTGCTGATGCTAAATTGGCCTTCAACTGGCTGACCCCTTGTTGTCTCTTGCATCGCTCCAGTTCTCTAAAGGCTGAATGTCTAGGGAGATTCTCAGTTCTCTAAAAGCTTGGCACTGGCATAATGAAACTGGATGCTACGTAGATAAATATGTTTATAGCAGTTGGGTTGATGGGTTGAGATGTTTGAAAAGAGGCATCTCATACCCAGTAAACCCTTTGTCCTTGTGGCACTCCAAATGATCTCAGAAGCAGACGGGGAGCTAGGCCTGTTCTTCATCCATCAAGGCTATTAGTGTCTCTCCCGATTAATAACACTCCTCTTGGCTCTGGAGTCTCATTAAAATTACATTGTTTAGGGCTGGTCGTCTTTTTTAGAGCAAAGTCAGGGAGCACTGAACAGAAGTTAGATCAAAGGTAGGCCCACAAAGAAAGAAAATTCAACTTCTCCTTGAGTGTATAAAGAGAAGCGTCTTTAGGGGATGACAAACCCATTGAAGAGCTTCCTGGATCCTCCATAGCAAGGAGTCACTTAAGGGTGGAGCCACAAATGAGGAGGTCATCGCCGGCGTGACTTCAGATAGGTCCATCAACAGTAGCATAAGCCAGAACTGCATCTACCGATCGATCGCAAACTGATGGCTGATGAAAACCTGGAGAGCTATTCTGATGGACACTTGTGCTGCTGCTTTTGTTTTGTAGGCCTAGAAGCAGAAAGATCAGCGGTGGAGATCAGAGGCAATTAAGCCACATTTTTATTTGTTTGTTTACATATTAGAGTTGCAATCAAGCAATTAGTTACCTTGCAGGGGAGAAATCACAATCATCATCAAGCAATCCCCGGTGGTATAGGGAGATGAATGCAAAACAGATAAGCATATCTACAGTAGAAGAATGCGGTAATTGCAAAAATCAAAATTCATAAAATCATGTAAACAAATCTATGACATTCCCTCAATAAATTAATCTCAGACAGCCCTCCAGTAGAGCAGCATTTTAACTTGGTTAAGAAAGAAGAGTGATGTTGGGTCTAACCTAGCTTC